CTCATTTCTGGCGTGTCATTTTCTCTTTGCTGTTATCATCTTCATGTGAAAGAAAACTAAACAGAGTAACCAGAAAACTAAACTGAATTTATTCCCATTGTCACACTCAGTCACTCTAATAATTTTTCTAATTACATCCCAAACTTTGTCACTTGTGGCAGTAGAAGTCCTAGCTCCTACTTTTAAGAGTTTTAGCCTTGAGGGTGACAGCTTCATAGCATCGGAGAAACATAGCTGAAGATGTTATTCTTACAAAGACAAAGAATTCTAAAATATACCAAACATTCATTCTTTGGGCAGCTTTGAAAATGTGGAGACATTTGTCTGATTCAACACACGTGAAAAGTGGCAGGGGCAGCACTGGAGTGATAGGCTCAACGAGCACAGCTCAAGAGGTGATGTGCAGCATCTTCAGCTAAATAAAGTTGCTGTTAAGTTCAACGTGCTCGACTGCTGTTAAGCACAACAGAACATTGCATTTACTACTGGAAAAGTCTGTGTGAATTGCAGGTGTCGCCCAAGACAAACCTTTATATCATTCCGAGTCCAACACAAGGAATATGGTAATAAGTTTTCTGAAACGTATGCTTTAACATATTTGGCCACATATCACTACTGAATGTACTTTTAAGTATTAAAATTAAATTTTAGTGCCATTTTGCCTTTACAGATCTAGAGGGAATCTGATTTCATTCTACCTCTTTTCTCACCCCAGGGTTGTATCAATTTACAATTTACAGCCTCCTGAGAACTTCTGTGAAATTCGAGTAAGTTTAACTGATCAGGGTTGTTTTCTCCCTGTACCTATCTTCTCATTTATTGTCTGGTACAATTTTAAAAAACATAACATCTTCACCAGTCTCTAAAACAGTTGTTCAAAACCAAATTTCCTTGGGGGGGTGGGGGTGGGGTATAAGATAAAATCTTCCTGCTCCCAGTCAACATTAATATGCTATTCTATCCAAAACAGCCATTCTGAACGTATGGCTAATTCTACAAAATAGCCACAATCATTTAATATACACTTAGCTTACAACCACCAGCAAACAATTAGGCAAATTTTTAGCTGAACATCAGCATAAAATGATGAAGATTCAACTACACAAGATGTAAAAGAGACTCCAATTTCCCATTGCCTCAGCTAACAATTTATTTTAAACATGAATACCTTCTTGCTGCAAAATGTTTCTGTGGAAACGATGCAAAAAGTATGTCTCCCTAAAATACTTCAGAAAGCAGAGGCAAATTCCTGGTCATAATCAAAGGATTTAGGTTTTGTTTATTTTTTTAATCCAATGCTCTAGATAGTTCTATTTTAATGTGCTACTGCAAAAGGCTTTATTACTAATGACAAGAGTTTTGCAACCTTATTTATTGCCCAGCTGTATTCCACACATTTAACTCCCCACCCCATGCATAAGCATAGAGCAAGGCACTAGTAGTTATAAATAAAAGACAAACTTCCAGTTTTAAAGCTAACTTGAATATGAAAAATTGATATTGCTGTAATAGTTCTCAACTGCAAAGCTGTAACTACTTTACGACGTTGCAAAATAAATGCCAAGTATTCTGAAGCAAACAGATGGAGGGACAGGCTGGTTTGTATATCTAAATGTCTACTGATAATGATAATGTTCTATGACTGAGCACATGTAAAAAATTACAGTATATTCAGTGAAGTTTGTTAATAGTAACTAGCTGAAGCAACACATATCCTAGTCTCCATATTCTAATATAACCTTTAACACTATCTTGAGCCACATCTCAATTAGGTTTCAGAGAAGAATATTTTCATATTTGC